AGGGTAACTGGGTAACAAGGTAACAGGGGTAACAGGGGTAACAAGGGTAACAAAAGGGTAACAATGGTTAACAAGGGGTAACAGGGGTAACAAAGGGTAACAATAAACAAAGGGGTAACAAGGGGTAACAGGGGTAACAAGGGGTAACAAAGGGGTAACAAGGGTAACAGGGGTAACAAGGGGTAACAAAGGGCAAGGGGTAACAAAAGAAGGGTAACAAGGGTAACAAGAGGTAACAAGAGGTAAAAAGGGTAACAAGGGGTAACAAGGGGTAACAAAGGGTAACAAGGGGTAACAGGGGTAACAAAGGGTAACAAAGGGTAACAAGGGCAACAAGGGGTAACAGGGCAAGGGGTAACAAGGGTAACAAAGGGGTAACAAGGGCTAATAAGGGGTAACAAGGGTAAAAGGGGTAAGGGGGTAACAAAGGGGTAACAGGGGTAACAAGGGTAACAAGGGGTAACAAGGGTAACAAGGGCAAAAAGGGTAACAAAAGGGTAACAAGGGGTAACAAGGGTAACAAGGGTAACAAGGGGTTAGGGGTAACAAGGGGCAACAGGGGTAACAAGGGCAACAAGGGGTAACAAGGGCAATAAGGGTAAAAGGGGTAACAAAGGGTAACAAGGGGTAACAGGGGTAACAAGGGTAACAAGGGGTAACAAAAAGGGTAACAAGGGGTAAGGGGGTAACAGGGGTAACAAGGGTAACAAGGGTAAAGGGTAACAAGGGGTAACAGGGGTAACAAGGCAAACAAGGGTAACAAGGGGTAACAAGGGCAACAGGGGTAACAAGGGTAAACAAGGGTAACAGGGGTAACAAGGGTAACAAGGGTAACATGGGTAACAGGGTAACAAGGGTAACAAGGGGTAACAGGGCAAAGGGGGTAACAAGGGGTAACAAGGGTAACAAGGGTAACAGGGGTAATAGGGGTAACAAGGGGTAACAAGGGGTAACAGGGGTAACAAGGGGTAACAGGGGACAACAGGGGTAACAAGGCGTAACAGGGGTAACAAGGGTAACAAGGAGTAACAAGGGGTAACAGGGGCAACAAGGGTAACAAGGGGTAACAAGGGTAACAAGGGGTAACAAGGGTAACAAGGGTAAACAAAGGGTAACAAGGGTAACAAGGGGTAACAAGGGTAACAAGGGTAACAAGGGGTAACAAGGGTAAAAGGGGTAACAAGGGGTAACAAAGGGTAACAGGGTAACAAAGGGTAACAAGGGTAACAAGGGGTAACAAGGGGTAACAAGGGTAACAAGGGGTAACAAGGGTAACAAGGGTAACAAGGGGTAACAAGGGGTAACAAGGGGTAACAAGGGGTAACAAGGGGTAACAAGGGGTAACAAGGGTAAAAAGGGGTAACAAGGGGTAACAAGGGGTAACAAGGGTAACAGGGGTAACAAGGGTAACAGGGGTAACAGGGGTAACAAGGGGTAACAAGGGGTAACAAGGGGAACAAGGGGTAACAAGGGTAACAAGGGGTAACAAGGGTAACAAGGGGTAACAAGGGTAACAAGGGGCAACAAGGGTAACAAGGGGTAACAAGGGGTAACAAGGGGTAACAAGGGTAACAAGGGTAACAAGGGGTAACAAGGGTAACAAGGGTAACAAGGGTAACAAAGGGTAACAAGGGGTAACAGGGGTAAAAAGGGGTAACAAGGGTAACAAGGGTAACAAGGGGTAACAAGGGGTAACAAGGGTAACAAGGGTAACAAGGGGTAACAAGGGTAACAAGGGGTAACAAGGGTAACAAAGGTAACAAGGGGTAACAAGGGTAACAAGGGGTAACAAAGGTAACAAGGGGTAACAAGGGGTAAAAAGGGTAACAAGGGTAACAAGGGTAAAAAGGGTAACAAGGGTAACAAGGGTAACAAGGGTAACAAGGGTAACAAGGGGTAACAAGGGGTAACAAGGGTAACAAGGGTAACAAGGGTAACAAGGGTAACAAGGGTAACAAGGGTAACAAGGGGTAACAAGGGGTAACAAGGGTAACAAGGGTAACAAGGTAACAAGGGGTAACAAGGGTAACAAGGGTAACAAGGGGTAACAAGGGTAACAAGGGGTAACAAGGGGTAACAAGGGGTAACAAGGGTAACAAGGGTAACAGGGGTAACAGGGGGTAACAAGGGGTAACAAGGGTAACAAGGGTAACAAGGGTAACAAGGGTAACAAGGGGTAACAACAGGGCAACAAAGGGTAACAAAGGTAACAAAAAAGGGTAACAGGGGCAACAGGGGTAACAAAGGCAACAACAACAAGGGTAACAGGGGCAACAAGGGGTAACAAGGGGTAACAAGGGGTAACAAGGGGTAACAAGGGGTAACAAGGGTAACAAGGGTAACAAAGGGTAACAAGGGGTAACAAGGGGTAACAAGGGTAACAAGGGGTAACAAAGGGTAACAAGGGGTAACAAGGGGTAACAAAGGGTAACAAGGGTAACAAGGGTAACAAGGGGTAACAAGGGGTAACAAGGGTAACAAGGGTAACAAGGGGTAACAAGGGGTAACAAGGGTAACAAGGGTAACAAGGGGTAACAACAAGGGTAACAAGGGGTAACAAGGGGTAACAAGGGTAACATAACAACAAGGGTAACAAGGGGTAAACAGGGGTAACAGGGGTAACAAGGGGTAACAAGGGGTAACAAGGGTAACAGGGGTAACAGGGGTAACAAGGGTAACAAGGGGTAACAAGGGTAACAAGGGGTAACAAGGGTAACAAGGGGTAACAGGGGTAACAAGGGGTAACAAGGGTAACAAGGGTAACAAGGGTAACAAGGGTAACAGGGGTAACAGGGGTTAACAGCGCTAACAAGGGTAACAGGGGTAACAAGGGTAACAAGGGGTAACAAGGAGTAACAGGGGTAACAAGGGTAACAAGGGTAACAAGGGGTAACAAGGGGTAACAAGGGTAACAAGGGTAACAAGGGGTAACAAGGGGTAACAGGGGTAACAAAGGGTAAGAATTGGTAACCAGGGGTAACAGGGGTAACAAGGGGTAAAAGGGGTAACAGGGGTGACAGGGCTAACAAGGGGTAACAGGGGTAACAAGGGGTAACAGGGGTAACAAGGGGTAACAGGGGTAACAAGGGGTAACAGGGGTAACAGGGGTAACAAGGGGTAATAAGGGTAACAAGGGTAACAAGGGTAACAAGGGGTAACCTCAGGGTAAAGGGGGTAACAAAGGTAACAAGGGGTAACAAGGGTAACAAGGGGTAACAAGGGGTAACAGAGGTAACAAAGGTAACAAGGGGTAACAAGGGTAACAGGGGGTAATACGGGGTAACAAGGGGTAACAAGGGTAACAAGGGGTAACAAGGGTAACAAGGGGTAACAACGGTAACAAGGGTTACAAGGGGTAACAAGAGGTAACAAAGGTAACAACGGGTAACAAGGGGTAGCAAGGGGTAAAAAGGGTAACAAGGGGTAACAAGGGGTAACACGGGGTAACAAAGGTAACACGGGTAACAAGGGTAACAAGGGGTAACAAGGGTAACAAGGGTAACAAGGGGTAACAAGAGGTAACAAAGGTAACAAGGGTAACAAGGGGTAACAAGGGTAACAAGAGGTAACAAAGGGAACAAGGGGTAACAAGGGGTAACACGGGGTAACAAAGGTAACACGGGTAATAAGGGTAACAAGAAGTAACGAGGGGTAACAAGAGGTAACAAAGGTAACAAGGGGTAACACGGGGTAACAAAGGGGAACAAGGGTAACAAGGGTAACAAGGGGTAACAATGGTAACAAGGGGTAACAAGGGTAACAAGGGTAACAAGGGGTAACAAGGTAACAAACAACAACAAGGGTAACAAGGGGTAAAAAGGGTAACAAGGGTAACAAGGGTAACAAGGGGTAACAGGGGAAAGGGGTAACAAGGGGTAACAAGGGGTAACAAGGGGTAACAAGGGGTAACAAGGGTAACAAGGGGTAACAAAGGGTAACAAGGGGTAACAGGGGTAACAAGGGGTAACAAGGGGTAACAGGGGTAACAAGGGGTAACAAGGGGTAACAGGGGTAACAAGGGGTAAATAAAGGGGGGTAACAAGGGTAACAAGGGGTAACAAGGGTAACAAAGGGTAAAGGGGTAACAAGGGTAAACAAGGGTAAAGGGTAACAAGGGTAACAAGGGGGTAACAAGGGTAACAAGGGTAACAAGGGGTAACAAGGGGTAACAAGGGGGTAACAAGGTAAATAGGGTAACAAGGGGTAACAAGGGTAACAGGGGTAACAAGGGGTAACAGGGGTAACAAGGGTAACAGGGGTAACAAGGGTTAACAAGGGGTAACAGGGGTAACAAGGGGTAACAGGGGTAGCAAGGAGTAACTAGGGGTAATAGGGGAAACAAGGGTAACAAGGGTAACAAGGGGTAACAAAGGGTAACAAGGGGTAACAGGGGTAACAAGGGGAACAAGGGGTAACAACGGGTAACAAAGGGTAATAAGGGGTAACAAGGGGAACAAGGGGTAACAAAGGGTAAACAGGGTAAGAAAGGGTAACAAGGGGTAACAAGGGTAACAAGAGGTAACAGGGGTAACAGGTGTAACAAGGGGTAACAAGGGTAACAAGGGTAACAAGGGGTAACAAAGGGTAACAAGGGGTAACAAGGGGTAACAAGTCTTATTTGCCTCAGGCCTTCGTGTGCCATATGAAAAAGTTAGAGCACAGCCTTAGCTTTGTCCTTCTTTACGCAGTAAGCTTACTTTTCCTCCTTGGCTGATGCAGTGTCTTTTTTGTGCTTGTCCAATCCAACTTAACTTGCATGTGATTTGAAGTTGCAGCCAATAAAAATCACACAATTTTTTGTGACGGGCACACGATACGGGAAAGTTAAAAAAAGGTGGCAATTTTTGACTCCCAAGAAAAATATGAAAGGAATGCACTGCTGAATTTATGACGCTGGCTGACTACGTCATCCCGTGTAATCAGGGCTAGGGGACAAAGGAAATTAAGAATCGACTTGGGTTAAAAACTTTTAACCTGAATTCAATTTCGACTTTTAACATTTACTGTGAAATTACCTTGACAATACTGACTCCAGATCCAATGTTGACCAAAAGATAAGGAAAGCGTTCAGAATGATTTAGACTTTGAAAGACATAAGGTGGATCTTGTTCACGATGGAATTCAAACACTTCATTTGAGATATTCCTCAGTAGAAAGTTACAGCCTCTGATTAGACATTCCATCTCATCTTCCTTGTCCACCCTAAGAAATGTACAAAACAACTGAAGGATTTAAATTTGGTTCTTTTGTGTGCAACAGTTATGAGCAACAGACCTCATGGGCATCTTTGTATTACGGTAAGTATAACGGTAGGATGAGGTGATGCAAAAATTGTTGTTAGTGAATTTGCCATGATCAAATGGATGCAACACATTTGCCTATTTGCATGTCAGTTTAAGGGATGTTGAATGTTGGTTTCAGAATTAAACACTTTTCATCCAACTTTGTCAAAGATGTCTTTTGTTCTTGTATCTATGGACCAAGAGATTAGTCCCAATTCATGTACACTGTCTGCCATGATGAGATGCTTTTGAACTTACTTAAACTTGAGTGAGATAATATGAATCCACTTAAAACCTCAGCGTGCAAAGAAGGTCATGTCTGATAGCCTGGAGCTAGTGGATTTTGCAATCTGGCTAGTGAATCCCGTTCTTAACTTAACTTGCCCAAAGATATGCCCAGAAGATCCCCTGTCATTACAGAAGAACTGTAATCAATGGTGCTAAATTGAATTGAATTGAATTGAGCCTACTTAAAAGACTCTTGGGCTTGTACATACTAGCAACAACTTTCCCGAATGGCAAGCCGTAAAACCGACTTTCTTTGCACTCTGGTTCAACCTACCTGCAACCAAGTTTACTTGTCAACAAATCAATGTATTTGTAAGCACCACCACCTTAAAAGCAACACGAAAAAGGACTATTAAGAACTTTATAAGTGAAGACAGATGACTAAAGACATTTTTCTAGTATGACAGCAACCATTGTTTGATTGCCTTTTTGTCTTCACAAGCTATTATGATAGTGTCAAAAACATGGTGCCATTGTGACCATATTTGGTGTAAATGTTCATCATCCCTCTCCAAGGTCAAAGAGCTCTGGTTGTGGATGTCAATTAAGTCGTTATGGAATACTATCTTGGTGATATTTCCTAAAGGGCATGGTGAGATATTGTAAGGGGAGTTTTAGAAGCATTAAACCAGGGTGTTTATCATGGGGAGAATAAGTATGTTGTCTGTTGGATGCATTTGGACACTTTTCGTTTTTTGTAAGGGCTTCTTTTTCATGAAACTTTTTTACAAACTCTCCATTTGGCTTTTGATTACCTGTTGCCTTAAGAGCCTTGTCTTTATTTGCAGCAGTTAAAATGTTGTCTTTGATAAAGTTGACACACATTTCAATGTACTTGGTTTCAAACTTTATGAAGTGTAATCGGATACTAGATTCCTGGTCTTCCTTGATCTCGTAGATATGCCCAGAAGATCCTCTGTCAGGCTGGTAAGAACATAAAGTTGTAAAAGACTTTCTGACAGTACAACAGAAAGACTTAAACAAGTGTAAATACAGTGGTAAAATACTAATAGAAACATGACTTCCTCCATAACATAAAAGAGAATCTGATTTGAAGTTCAAAGTAGTAACATTTGTAGCCCCACCCCACCCCCCAACTAACAGGGCCTCACATGAGGGTACTCTATGGTCTGGTCCCGGGGGGAGGGGGGTACCTCTTTATACAAGGGTAATAGGGATGTGCTGCTGGATGGGGTCACATTTTCATGACAGGATTGACTATAATGGGGTCACATTTTCAATAGCGTTAGTGGAATGGGGTTGCACATTTGCTGATTTTTGGGGTAAGAGAGTTCAAGATTTACGTTTGGCAAACATACCAGAATGTTTGTACTGTAGGTGAAAAGTAAAGTGTTCTTTATTCAATATAAGGTTGATACATATTAGAAAGTGACTAAGTTGGGATTGCGAAAAGTACGTTTTTGCCCAAAAGCGATTAAGAAGGGGTCTATAATTGGTCACAGAATAGACTATAATGGGGTAGGGGCTCTGAGAGGCCAGCAGCACATACCAAGCAAAAATTAACCCAAGTAATACCCCTCCCCCCACCTTCCCCGGGGATCTGGTAAGGGTTGCAACAGCTGAGCTACATGTCCCTAACAAATATTATGGGACCTGCTCGAACTCATAAACTCCATGTGCTGATTGAAGACTACACTTCTATAATTATCAGGTTGAACTCACCAATGCCCCTTTGTCCTGGTCTTCATCATCACTCTTAGCCAATGAAGTTAACGAAGTAAAGCTGTAATGTCGTTTCCTAATGGTTCTTACTTGTGACATGTATGCCACTTTGGCCAGAGAACCACCTTCAAAGGAAACAGAAGAACAGAAGGTTCAAGTTGGGTTTCTGGGAAACTGCCCACCTACCCCTCCCCTAAGCCAACATTTTGCCCTAAGTGAGAATTAAGTGGTAATGTTGACTTAGGGGAGGGGTAGGTGGGCAGTTTCCCACAAACCTAAAATAACCCAAACAGAAAAAAAGTATCACCAGGGCTGGGGTAGGCTGGGACAAATTGACACTAGCCAGTAAGAAAAGAAAGAGGGAAATTATATCTGGGACTGGGAAGAAAACTAAAGTTATCATTTTGTGGTTGCACACCTACAAAATACTTTGGAGAACTTAACCCAAACCCAATTGCTGTACCAAGAGTATAGGCTGAGGGTGAGGTAGGGATCAGCATACTACCAGGTATGGGTTATATAGATATGTGTCACTGTCAGGGGTGGGGTTTTTAAGCAATTTTTCTGGCATTCATGTAGACTGTTCACAGTCCCCTATTTTTTTACAACATGGTAACAAAATTGCAGCTTAATATGGCTAGGAGCTTAAGCCCGGGGTCTCAGGGTACCAGTGGTTCACCCCTCCCCCCCACCAACAACAAAATATTGCCTCCACCCCTGTATAGGCTACTTTAAGGTCATGGGAGGGGGGGTGGTGGTGGAGCATTATAACAATTGTTCTTCTGGCAAAATTTGGTACGTTATAAAAAAATACAAATTTAAAAAAAGTTGGTTACAATTTTCCAAGTTTGTAAATACCAATTTTTATGATTTGGCGGAAATCTCTTTCTTGACTTCCATTTAATAAGCGCTTCTGTTCGAGATATTAAAAGAAAAACCTCTTCAAGAAATTAAATAGATGAATAGCCACATTGTCCGATACATTGGCTTCTGCAACTCACCAATATCCACTGCAAAGATTTTTGCAGTGTTTAGATTTCTAAACACCTCGGGCAAGGAAATGCTCTTTGCGTAACCTGATGGGCTTCCTTTTGTAGCTTCAGAATGCATAATTTTGATCCAGAAGGCGAAAAAACAGTAAAAATATTGCGCTTAAACTTTCCAAGTATTTCTGCTAAATCAGAGACACACAGTCCGCCATGTTGAATAATTGCTAATCGAGCCCGCGGTACTTATGACTCTCTTGGTTCCAGACCTTTACTCGGACAACTTTCCATGTGCACGAACGCACTTCTATCGTTGGTTTGTGTTTTCTTGTCATTTTGACTAATCGATTTGGGTCTCCAGAGATGACAAGACGGTGGTATTAACTCAGTTGCAGCCTTGACCATCCAGTAGGATTTCCTGACTAAAAGAGCAGAAGAGTTGCCTACGGGAAAACTTTTTAAAAAAAAAAACTTCCGTCCTGACAGTGTATTAATCTTCAATACACACAAATCCCAACTGTACAAGTGTTGAAATTTGGACAGAACTCTACAGAGAACGATCATGGTGGTAATGACCTCATTTCCTCCTCCAACTGAAGGGTTGGTCCACGTAGAAGAAAACACTGAGGCTTTCATTCATGATCAATCATATGGATTAGGAACTTTGTATATAGCAACAGAGTAAGAGCTTAACTACAGAAAACATGATCTCTCTAAGGGGGTGTTTACATGAGAAAACTCCCACCGGGGCGAGTTTCATACTGGGATGACTTTTTGATTTCGTATCGCATTTACATGATGACTGGGTCATTTCATATCTTGTTATTTAAAGGTACATTTCATGTTGATAAAATACGCATGTGGTTCAAAATCGCAAACATTACGCATGCGCTACCCGTTCCAGTTTACTGTCAGACCGATTTCACACTGAAACGGGTGGTCGTTTTGCGTTTACATGATACCGTTGTGAGATTTCGTACCTCAATGAAATTCTCGCCCTGGTACGAGAACCGTGGTGAACTCACACTGGGGTGACTGGCATCGGCATAACATCTTGTGGTGGTATCATGTAAACAAATATAGAGCCATGAGAGGGACCCGGTCACGCCGGTGTCATGTAAACACCTCCTAAAACACCCTTTGACAATATGGCTTTGTGGCTAGGCAGCTATGCACGTGTTAAGTCCCTTTCCTGGGAATTGGGTTACTTCCTAGTAATAGGCTAATGGGGATGTGGTCGTATTTTAATGACTGGGTTGACTATAGTGGGTTGCATTTTCAATAGAGTTGTAAGAGTGAGGTCTCACATTTTTGTGATTTTGGGGGGTAAGAAAATTCTGGTAAGTAGGGATTTACAGGCAAGGCATGTCAAGTGTTCCCCCCAAGATTACATTAACGATAACACCTCTGTATTCGGTCAGATTGAATATCTTTGAATGGTTCAATTGTTTTTTTTGAAGACATTTAAATCAAATTCAAGAAAACCGAGCTGGCAGAAATTTCATCACTAGCTCCTGTGAATTCACTGTTCATTACGTATGCGGGAATGCAGAGGTGAAACTGAAATCTACAACTACCAGGGGATTCAATCTTGGAATAATAAATTCCAATGCAATCTTAGTGCAATGAAAGTTGGGATTATGAAAATTACATATACCCAAAACTGATGTGACTAAGAAGGGGCCTATAACTGGCCACAGGATAGACCAGGTGTTTTGAGAGGCCAGCGGTACATATGCAGGCATCTGGAGCAATCGCACAACTATGTCTCATTTGTTTATGAATCTGTGTGCAGTCAAGAGAAATGGCTCAGTTATTGTGAAATAATATTTTATTTGTTTTTTATCTGTTGAAGGAGATTGTCATGGAGTGATGGTGATGGTAAAGGGTTCTCATTAGAGTACCCAGCAATATCTTTACACGCCATTTGCAGAGACACTTCACAATTTCAATATGAATGTATCTACTGTATGATGGATTCACCTCTAGATGGTAAGAACTATAACAGAGATGCCAACCTCTGGAAACCTAAAATCTGGAGACTCTCTCTTTGGCAATACCCCCCTGAAAATCAATGACCAGATAACTAGCCACCCCCCCCCCCCCCCTCCGATAAGCATAAGTTGATCCAGGCCCTAATTTTGTCACCGGGGAATGGGTTAGGACATTATATGAAGTCTTACATGAAGTACAGACCATCGCAATTCACTTTTATGGTAATTTTTGTCAGTGATGAAATACATGCAAAAATGCCCCAGAAAAAGAACTAAGAATCAAAGAAGATTCAAATTTGGGGAGAAAATGGGATAAATTCCAAATTAAAACACAGAAAAGCTCATAACTTGATTTTTTCCATGAGATTTGGTGACCCGTACCCGGGAGAGTTAGCATGTATGCTAAAGTAGTTTTGTATTACAAATAGCAGTAATGAAAGTAGCGAGGGGCCATGTTCATAGTAGTAGCCGGGGGAAATCCCCGGCCCCCGCCTCTTAATGATAGCCCTGGTAATACATAATGAATAGTAATTTGCTGCAGAAAAGACAAAATAAGGTCGTTCAGTCTTGAGATTTTTCCATTGATCACAAATATCAATAATATATTTGTTTGTATTTTTAAAAATAAAAATAATGATATTTAAAAATAACATAAATATCAAATTAATAGTGATTTAGAGGTAACGCATCACATAGCGATTCTTCGTCTATCTGATTCCTAATTGAAATGGAAATTGGAAATGTTAGTTTTTGAGGAGAGAGAGAATCAAGATTACCCATGCTGTCGAAGCCGGGATTTGAACCTGAGCCACATTGATGGGAGACAAGACAGTGATCTACCACTGCGCCACTCTTGCTCTCCAGGGAACAAGTAGCCTGCCCCTGTAACAGTGTTTGTCCCTCTTTCTCCACCCTTAACATTTTGTTGGCTCTAACCACTTGTGGTTAACTATTTCTGATTTCCAGATAATGAAAATGATGGAGCCAGCGATGACAGTGATGGTAAATTTGGAGAGGTCAGATTTGTGCCCGAGGATAAGTCAAAATGTAAGTCCAGCAAATCATAAGAAAAATAATTTGTGACTTTTTTTACTTTGAATGTTGAAAAATTTTCTTTTCATCTTTTCAGTGGAAGTCATGTTTAGAGCAATGTCAGATTGTCAGATTCTTCACCCAGACCCCCAGGAACAAGAAGAAGGTAAGCTGTGTGTATCAATAGCCTGCAAATACAGCTGTCTCTCCTCCCTCCCCGCCGGATATGAGATGGTAGATAGCCAATGAGGCGCATAGAGCCGAGATGGCTATAATCATCTCATATACAACAAGCATGAGTGGAATAATTGTTTTATTAAAAACGCCCACAAAATATGGAGCATTCTTCCCGACTTTATTTGCAAAAAGAACCTTTTTCAGCTTGTTTTTAGTTTTGAGCAGATGCATACAGTTACCATATTTTGAGGGCATGGTATTATGGCTCATATACCGTGAAGGCTAAGCCAATCATAGCTCTAGAATTGCATTGTCAAATGGTTCAGTTTTTAATAATTTAACTTATCATAATGTATCCACTCTTTTTTGTGACCTTAGAGGAAGATGAAGACTTCTTTTGTGATGCAGATGAAGAAGAGCTCTCTGAGCAAGGACAGGTATATTGTTAACAGTTTATTGAAATCTTTTTTTCCCCCAGTAAATTAGAATCCACACTCTAAACCAATGAAGATGTACTGGTAATTTGTCAAGCTTTCAATCACAATGCTGCAAAACACAGCAGTCAACTGTGAAACTTTTAATTACCAAATGTCGTTTTCCCATTTTTTTCTCAGAAGATAGAGAGAGAAAACATCCTGATGCCAACTCAAGAAAAAGAGAAGCTTCCTCGAGGTTACCTCGTACCCAGATCTCTTGTTGACGAAGCAAGAGATCTGGGTACGAGGTTACCCGAGAGGAGACAGGGCGTGCAATGTGCGTTCTTGTGGGAGCCTGTTTCATTGTCTTCTAGAGAAATCCCAAAGGTCTCCACAAGAAAACGTGTATTTTTCACCATCTATAAACAGTCAGTACATGAATGTAGTATTCAATTTTTTATTCCTCTTTTAACATTTCAGGCAACCCTTCAGCGCTTAGAAGGAATGCTAGAAATGCCCAGTCAGCAGGAATTTATGCAGATGACTTCGGTGAGAAATGGCGGCGACCATGTGAACGGCCACGGAAACGTGCAAGGTTGGTAGTTGCGCATGCGCAATTAGCAATGCTATTTCAACCTCTCCTATAATCATTTAATACCTTGCTCAACCACCGTCAACTAGCGCGCTCGCACGCGAGGAGCGAGTTACTCTGGGTGCTAGCGACTTTTCATGCGCGGTTGCCGGTCTCTTTCAAGTCTATGTAATGTCCCACTCGCCGCTCGTGTCTTGGGCCTTTGGCGGAAGACGCGTCGGCCTGCGACCGAACCCGAAACATCTCCGCCGCACTTGATCGCCTCACGCGAGAAAGGCACGACAGAAAAGAAAAGAGAGGCTGTCTCAGAAAAGAAAGGAAAAGAGAAGTTTTCACAACGCTGTATAACTATTTTCCAGAACCAAAATTGCTTCGAAAAGGCTTCAGTTGTTGACAAGCACCGGTGATCTCTTGTTTGAAAGTAGTGTTAATGTTGCAATTTAAGATAATAGTTCATACTGACATTTGCAATTATCGCTTGCAATAGGTTTTCACATAGCAAAACCGAAAAAGGCAAACACTTACTTTCTGAAACTGACACTTTTTATTGTTTTCAATCAGCTAAGTTTCATTGTAACTGTCTTTTTTTATAATTTCATTTGCAGGCGACGTTGAAATGGACAACAGCGCTGAGAACAGTGAACAGTTTGAAGATGCTGACAAATGACATTGAATGAACAAACATACGAGAGCATTTACATACATTGTGAAGAAAGCATTTCGTGACTTCCGCAGAAGCAGTTTTCTTGTTGGGTACCCTGTCCTTCTCTGTAGATGGTGAAGTTGCCACTTTACTCTAAACCCCTTAATTGCACTAGAAACTGAAAATTTTACACTCGAATACATTTGCAACTCTGATACCATCTGTCCCATTACAGCACAGATGTTTGATAACATAAAATTATCATATTATTTAACGGATGTATGAAAAGAAGATGGCCCGGAGGGTATCTCAGCAAATAAGTGAAAAGACTCTTGTTGTTATGGACACAGCCTTGTGGATTACACACTTTTGTAGAAAAATTTACGACTTTCCATTTGCGTATTTACGTTCTAAGTAGTGATGAGATGTTGTTTTTTATGTCAATTTCACAGACATAGTGTTGTGTAACAGTATATTTCGTCGAAAACAAGATTTCGATAAGAGACAACTTTTGAAAGAAAGTAGGCAGTTCCAAGTAAATCGATTGCATAACTTTGTTTGGTTCAAATAAAGTACACAATGCTCGTACTTGAAGGAGCTTCATTCTTTATATAAGCTAGCCCTTCTCTCTGGGTGCGGGATTAGGGAAGCGTTAACGGGATACGGGATTTGACCGCTACCAGGAAGCAGGGATTCGTTGAAATTAGGGCACACTATTGGATGCAGGACTGGGAAAAAAACCTTGATGCGAGATTCTCGTGAAAAAGGGGCGGTACTGTGATATAAGGATTCTCTTTTTAGACCCCATTCGATTAGTGCAGCTTTCTCTTCCATAAAGAGAGTCTGTTCACAGGCTGGCGGCTATTCACTCTCTTTACAGTAGTAAATAGACCACTTCCGAGTTCCAAAAACCCTCACTTTCAAAGTGAGGCTAGATGCACAACCTTTCTTGTGAAAACGAGTTTTATTTGCATGAGTTCCATATCAAAGGCTTAACACCTACCCTCGTTTTGAAACAGAGGCCCGGGGGAACTCGGAAATGGCCCATTGACCGTTCATAAAACCACATTCTTTTGTTTCACTCCTTACCGACGCAGCATCGCAGGTCCTTTGGCGTAAACTAATATAACCCATTTACTCATTTTTTTTCCAGCTTTCGTGACCCTCGCGTGCGTCTCAACATTCGCGTACTCGTTTCAGTCTCCTATTACCCCGTCTCAGATCCGCTTGCCCTTCGAACTCCTGCTGTGTTTTTGGATTTCCTTCTTTATCGTTTTATATATTTATTAATAAGTTTTTATTATTTTATTGAAATAACAACATTTTAGGTTGGCTTGTTTGTTTTCCATAGGCGAACATGTGGTATGACTATCCAAGGTCACATATTTGTCCTTTTCTGTCATGAGTGGGTTCGACAGTGGGTTCAAAACAAATGTAATAATATCGATAAATTTGCAATGCGGTGAAAACAAATTAAACAGGAAGATGAAAGAGACATTTATCTTTCTGGCAACACAAACTAATGACCCTTCTAATATCCGAAGCGAAATTTGAGTACGAGTGTGAGGATATGTGAGTGTGAGTAACTTTATTACCGAAGCGAGCGAAGACGCGTTTGAATGCAAATTCCAGAAATAAGTGAAAAATCTATTTCCGGAGAATACTTAAAATAAAATACTAAGAATAAAAATGAAATGATAAACGTCCATTTACAGAGAGCACAGCTGCAGTCAATTGCAGATGACAATGACATTTGTTGTAAATTTCTCTTACAGATTGCGACTCTGAAGCTTTTTGTAGTAAATTATTCTACTATTTGGGCGCCTTATAAGCGAAAGGATGTTATTTGTAGAATGTTCTTGTTGTAGGAAGTAGAAGCTTAAGGTGTCCCTGTAGGACATAAATATAACAGTCTAGCCCAGGGACCAATCCTGGATCATGTAAAATTGCGAAGTCATGGGTGCCAGAGGCCAAGGGCGCAATGCTTTTCAGGAAAAGACAATTCCTTCATAACGCAAATATTGCGTTCGAAATCTTTTGGAATACTTGTAGTACTTCTTAGTGAAAAGTTTTGCATCAAAATTTTTTTCGCCTGGTGTTTATGCCAAAAGCCACGCAAAAAGCAGGACGTTCGTCGACCGGAAACGTGATCCTCACGTTAACTTCCGGATTCAACTGCTTTTAGTATTCAAACAACAACAGTGACGACATTTCCGGTAATTTGAACAAAAAAACAAAATCGCAGAACAGGCCGTCCGCTGGCTCATTTTCAAGATAGCTTTCATGCCGTTTTACTGCTGTCAGAGTTTGCTGGTGGCTGATCGAGAGGCCGAAGATATGAACTATTATCGAAACAGCAATCACGATGTAGCCCCTCGAAACAACTGCCGTCGCCGCATAGTCACCAAAGAAATGGCCTTTTACTGTTTTGATATTCTATGCAGCCACTTACATCGGCATCAAGAACCGCCTTGGCCAAATTTTCCCAATGGTGAATTGTGAGTATAAGTCTTAGATGAAGTTCCTTCTATTATTTACAGTTTAGCAGGACAAATGCTTGTTCATACTCCCCCCGTTTTGGGGCTGGTCGATGTGCGTTTCAAGGGAAAACCATGTTTTGTCGAGCTTAAAGGTTTCTCGACCCTCTTCGCGACAACAAAAGATCTGTAAAATCTCCTCTTGCGAAGGGACTGCTGCTATCGAACCCTCGACCCCTGGTTACCATTTCCACGACCAAATATTTTATGTTATGTCTAATACGCTATTTCAGTAGGATTTTCTTGTTAGCTTTGAAAGAATAACGATTCTTAGCCTTGAAACCGACCCTATGTTTTGCATGACTTACGCGCAAATTCATGTTAATTAAGGTGACCTATTTTGGCAGTGTTTTCGTTTAAACCTCAGCGCGGCCTGAGTGATTATTTCATTCTCGAGTAATGTTTACCTGCAATCGACTCTTCACTTCAAAACGACAGCGCATTTGCCAAATCTAGAAATTTCCTTTTCAACCACAATAGCATTGATTATTCCGACCCCAAAACGACCTGTTTATCCAAGCAGCTTTGGCGTCAGTAGAGCTTATATTTGAGTTTCCTGTACAAATGGAAATTATTCACACCGGCGTTTGTGTCAGCTGTTGAATTTATTCAGGCCTTTTAGCAAAACCTTTATCAGATGCATTTGTTGAACGTGACTCACTGCTTCTTTGGACGATATTTTGTAACAATAATAATTTTCTCCCAAGTATGAAAAACCTTAATTGAGGAAGAGAAATTTTAAGTTTTAAATCTTCAAATAATTTTTTTTCTCAGATTCGTTTGTGTTGTATATTGTTTCCTGCAAGCAAAATATGTCGTTTGAATTTGGTCTCCTTTTGTTGGAAAAGTCAAGTTGAAACGCGAATTGACCACATTGTAACCAAGGGTGAAATTAAGTGACTGACTCATTTTTTTTTTTTTTTCAATTTTTTTTTGCATATTAGTTTCTGATTATTCACTTCATACTCAAGTACATGCAGGGATTTTTTTTTAAAAAATGTATGTTACCATTGCTTTCCTAGTTTGGATTAGTTTTTGCCCACAACTTGTGATGATTGCTTTTCTGTGCTGAAAAAAAATTCTTGTTTGGACAAAATTCTATTTTTAGAAATTAATTTATTTTTGTTTGCCTTTTCTTTTTTATTTATTCCATCATTTTTTTTCTATTTTGTACTGAATATCACTTAGTGAAGAAAAAGCTTTCAACACATTCTAAAACATGAAACAGCCCAAATTAGAAATATTGATATTTTTAGCTTTTTAGATCTTTGATTTCATTACTCTGATATATTAATTTTATATACAGTATAGCTCAGACTTTTGGGGGGTTTTATATGGAGAGGCTCCGCCCCGAGGTCCAACCCCTTACCCTTTTATATACCAGTTTTGACATAAAAGGTACCCCTTTCATGTACCTTTAATTGAAAAATGGTACCCCTTTTTTTTACATACGTAGTCAAAACGTTTGCATCCCTGTTAACTGCTGTAAGTACGATGTCTTGAAAGTATAAATAAATCACAAAACCAGAATGTTTTCTAAACTTTTTCACAGCCATAAAAATGCATCTGTTAGCTTATTTTAGCCTTTTTACAGACCGAAAAGACAGATTTCCCTACCCTTTCATATACTTCAACCAGAAAAGTTCGTACCCTTTCATATACCTTAAGCCTCTAAAAGGTATCCCTTTCAAGCAGAGCCTCCCCATATAGGCCATCATAGGGAGTACCTCCACTAGTTACTCCTGACCACTCTCTGACATATTTAAGATTTATAGAAAAATTATCTCGCCTTATTTTAATCTTTGTAACCCAGGTGGCATATCTAGGGAAGGGACCAGGGAGGTCTGAGCTCCCACCTTATTTTTGGAGATATCCAGATATCTGGATTCAGAACCATGCAATGCTAGCCAAAAGAAGTGATTTTTAGAGTTCAGTTTATTATTCCTATTCCGAAATACGGTCAAGTGAACATGCCCCATCTCCATCATTAATAATCTCACTTTTTCTTAGGTTGGGAGTAGCTAACACTAGCTATACACCTAGGATAAAAAACATTTAGACCACTGCAGCCCAATATGGCCTATAAAATGCATCTTGTTATTTTTTAACCTTTTTATCTTAGGGTCTAGATGAGTGGACTCCCTAGTTGAAGACCTGAATCCACCATCTTAAGTTCTAACTAGAAATGCAGTCACTGTTGTTCTCACTCTGCCAATACACCCATGTCACTGTCGAGATAGTTCTTTATGCCCATTTTGATAATCATGGAAAAAATGGGGCAAGATGTCAGTTTGTACTCTTGCTCTTTAAGATGAATTTGACTGCATCCATTGTCCTCCAAAAAGATTTTTTTGGAACTGTGAATTAAGAGGTTGAGATTATTATGGCACATCTGAAGGTATGGCATTTCACCCTTTTTTTGCAGTCCTCTGTTTGTAACTTGGAAGATTGACAATGGCCGTGAAAGAGGCCGCACACTGAGAGGCTGTATAGGTACATTTACTGCAATGCGATTGCATAAAGGTCTTAGAGATTATACGTTGTCAAGGTAAGACTAAGTGTATACTCCCAGGGTGGGTACTCCCATAAATTGGATCATTATACTTTTAAACTACTCACCTACCCCTCCCTTAAGCCAACATTTTTCCATAAGTGAGAAGTACATGCAAGCATTAATGTTGGCTTAAGGGAGGGTAGGTGGGCAGTTTGTCAGAAACATTTGATCTTATTAATTTAGGACAGGTGTATGCCACCCAGGGTCCTTATCTTGACCCTGTTTAAGGATGAGACAAGACAAGTAAAAACAATTTTGATACCCTATTCAAGGCCCAAACCCAGAAATTGATACCTAATTCAAAGGAAAAATAAAATCTAAGAATTTAATGGTGTGAACTATTTAATTAATACTTCTTATACACCTGCAAATACTCTTTGGGATAACTCAATTTTATCATGATCTTGTTTCTTGTGTAGCTAGACTTAAAGAGTAAGCACTTTAAGGATCAAACTGCAAACACAATGCCTCCAAGAGCAAAAAAGATATCCTATTTGAGGATCGAGACCATCAAAAAGGATGCCCTATTAGATGGCACATACCTTTCTAGCCCATGTATGGGAGCACCCTCCCCCACCCCCCGTATGTATACTTGATCTCTGTTTTCCTTCTTTCAGTTTCATTAGTGGAACATAATTTTTTTAAGGTTCCATGTCAGTAAATAAAAAATGATCAAGAGGGGTTTTTCGTGTCCTCCATCCCTCACTGAATCAATTGGAATTTAGAAATGGTGGTTTTTCATGGGAGCAGAAGAAAGCCAGAGTACCAGAAGGTGACATGAAAATTAAAATAGATGCTTGGTTTTTGGGCAAGCTTTTGCTGAAGTTTATCATTCCAGAGCGGTCATGTTGGCCTGGACAGCACATTCTTGCATTGTGGCATCTGAAGAAAAACCTCTTAGAAACCACAGTCCAGCCCCTTGCTGTCCCCATAGCTCATAGTTCACCTTTGGAATAAACCATCACTTAACTTTATTGTTCCTGTTGATATTTTATAAACTTAAGTTCTAAATGAATGAATACCTTTCTCTTCCTCTTTTTACAGTGCCCTGAGGGATACCCGATTTTCTCCAGTAACCAAAGAGGAACTTTCTCTCCTATACTGTTCTGTATCCGTCTTGACCAACTTTGAGGAAAATGTTAACTGTCTAGACTGGGAAGTAAGTGTCTTATGCTATAGTTCACAATGGAATTCAGGTTAAAATGGTGTCAACCCAGGTTGATTCTCAATTTCCTTTGTTTCTCAACCAACGTTAACAAAATAAAGCTTTTGACAAGGAAATTTATTTTTGTTTTATTTTGCATGTGGATGGGATCACATTTGAAAGAAGATGTCCTTTAGGGTTAATTTGTGGTTTTTTGTTTAGAAAACATATATGGGTGAAAAGGTCTATTCTATTTTTGGATGGATGAGAATTTGAAAAAAACAGTTCTTTTGGGGTTATTTCATGTGGATTTGAATATGGGAAATGTTTTAAAACATACAAACTGAAGATGTCTATTCCATCTTTAGTACCATAGCCCGGGGCTTGGATTTTTCATAAAGTGATTTTTGAGGAGAAACTTTATGCTTGTTTTTGGGAAATTATTTTATAGAAGGATGGTAATCAATCCTGCTAATCCAAAAGGGTTTGGGGAAGTTGAAATGTTTTTACTCCACACTACAGGGCTCGAAAAAAACTTGAATTCCAGCTTTTTCTTTGGGCAAGCAGGTCTCACATTTTACTTGCCAGAGGCCACTTCTTGCTTGTCTTAGTTAGTGATTTTGTTAGGGGATGACCTCCTGCGACCCTTGTCCATTGGGCAGAGAAGTTTTAAAAGATACTCTCCCAGCAAGAAAAGCAACTTGTCCCAGACTACCAGACATGACTTTGCAAAAGACACGAAAGTCATAAACAAACACATGATTGTTTTCAGCTCAGTTCCAAAATACCAGATGCTGTTGAGAATGAAGAATAATTGGATAAAGATGATAACAACAACCGATTTGCGTAAAATAGGTCTTGAAATCAGGGAATGACATTTCAGAGAACTTATCTCCTAAATATCCTAGCGAGGGCAGGGCCATGTCCCTCACTCCACTACCCCTCCCCCCCCTCCCCCCAAGGAAAGTGCACCTCTGGGGCCGTTTTGGCCCTACTGGCCATGAATGGTCTCCTTTCTGCTTAGGAGCTTAAATTATAGGAGAACACTGCTTGTGACAGCTAGCTGTAGAGCATTAAGAGAAACAGACCTACCTATTCAAGACTAAGACGCATGTTTATGAAAATATTTGCTTTGTACAAGCACCAAAGATATCTATTTATGTACTTTAAAAAATTAATATTAATTAAAGTTATTGATTTGTTAGATTGGTGTGCATGGTATACGGATTGAGTTTTACAATGAAAAAGGTCATCATCGTACAGCCACATACCTTCCTGAAGTAGCCAAAGAGCAAGGTAGGTAATAGCTGTTTGAAGCTTATTTAACGACTTGGATGTTCTTCTTAGTTTCTTTCATTTTGATTATCTCCCCTGAGGAATTTATTCGCACTACCTTGTACGGCAAAATAAACAGTATCACAAAAAAGAACTCTTCAGTAGCTTTCATTTGAATGGTCTAAAGTTAGAGCCACTTCGTGCAGCATAATAAACAATACCTTAGGAATGTATTCTTCAGTAGCTTTCATTTGAATGGTTGCACTTTAGGATTTTACAGTCTACTCTCTCTTAACGGACACCTCTATAAGACGGACACCTCTGTAAAACGGACACTCAGAGTTGGTCCCTGCCTTTCTTTACTTCCTTTATTTGACTCTCTATAAGATGGACATCTCTCTAAGATGGACACATACTGCAGGTCCCCAAGGTGTCCTTCTCAGAAAGAGTTGACTGTATTCACAGAAATGTTACCTTCCCTGTTGCATTAATTTCCTTTACTTGAAAGCCGTTTTCCACTAAGTTTGCATTAATTTAGGTCGCATTAACTTCTAATAACTTAATTCCATGGAGCGTTAATTTCCTTTAATAAGTGAAATCGTAATTATTATTTAACTTGCGTTTAGGTTGGAATCAGATCCAAACCATTGACTCGCTGTTAAGGAAAGGTGGCTTCAAAGGGACCATCACAGCCGAGGTCCGCAATACCATTAAAGTAACTCGTTACCAGAGTGAAAAGGTGACAGTTGCATACAGTGAGTACCTGGCGTCAAAACAGGCCACATGACAATTGTGGAACCTAGGGCTTTTAACAATTTAGGAAACTAGTTGTTAATACCATTTTAAAAGATGTTGAATAATTCTTTGTTATTGTTATATTATTAATGTATATTTATTGATGCAATTGGTTACAGTCCTCTGTTACTAGGGAAAGTGCTTTCATCCTGTTCTTTTCCAGCCCTGTTTTAAGAGACTGAAAACAACAGGAAGGAAAGAATTTGCTATGTATTATAATAATTATTGTTGTGGTTGCCTGGGAAAAATGAAGGCCTTTTACAACTTCATTGTTGTTGCTTGACAGTGTGGGTTTGTTTGTTTCCTTACCCTCTACCAAGGCTGTCTCTACATATTTGCAACCAAGAAATTTTCTGGTCTTTCAAAACTTTAAAGCTACTCTCAATATAATTATTGACAACAACATAAATCAATTTTTGGTAAAAATCTCCATGGGGTTAAGGGGTTAAAGACAATGAAAAGGTATTTCTTCCTCACAGTTGTTCTTCTTCCTTTTTTGGGGGGGAGGGGGGGTGATGTTCTTGTGCATCATAACAGTGACGTTGTAGAAGGCCTTCTTTGTTTATGAGCTTGGTTTATGCAATGAAAACACATGGAATCAAAAATTTTCACGTACTAGGGTATTTTTCTTAAATCAAGACACAATTGAGGGAAAATACAGATTTTTTTAATCTTGTCTTTGCTTTAAGAAATCATTACAATGTTTATTGCATTTTCAACTCTCTGGAAAGGAAAAATATTTTAATTTATTCTTATCCAAAGGCTCAAAGTTAAGAGGCAAGACTCCCTAATGTTTTGTGAAGTTTTTACGCTGGCTTTGACATTGAAAAAAGTTATCATCATTTCATTAAAGATTTGTCTGATAAAGAGTTTTTGTTTAAAATGTAACATTGATACCATCAAAATCCTTCTTACAAATAGCTTTTTTTTTCTACCTTCTTTCCTTAAACAACCAATTTTGGTTTATGTGTGTTATTGAATTCTTTTTTAACTGTCTTGCCCCGATTTTTTTCTTGCTCAAGGGTACAGGTCCTTTTTCAGAAATCAATCCTTTTTCCTCACAAAGTTTCCTTTCATTATTTTTATACATGTCCCTCCTTTCAATATATTTTATAGGCACTGCCAATTTCATTAGTGAAATAAATTTAATAATAGGCCAGTATGGATGTTTTTTACTGCCCTGCCTTCTCCTACAAAATACTCCTTCCTTCATTAAAAGAAAACAGAATGGGTCCCAAGGCATGATTACTATTCCTAATAGTGAAGTTAATTTTAGTACCAGACTCTAGCTAGCGTATCAAGACCTGTAATCATTAGTTAGTATTTTTCAAGATTTCTAAAAACTTCAACAAGACGAGCGGACCCCTGGAAGGATGTGTTGAATAGCTTGGATTGTTTAAGAAAAAAACGCCTGTTTTTTTAAGCTGAAAACAAGTTGTTCTAATGTAAAATTGAGTCAGTGGGCCCTTGAAAATGATTAGAGGGCTTTTAATAGCTTCTAAGACGAGGGCGACTATGAGTAGGCGATTTTTTTTCCAATACTAAGTAGTGCACACATGCGAACTGATGTCATTTTGGCGAGTTTTAGCGAGAATATCGTAGTGGTGGGAACAAGTTATAAAATGTTAGGAATTTTATCACTTACCGATCGGGAGGCAGCTTTACCTTCTTCAACGGAAATAAGCGAACTAACTGTTCTGGTGACAAAACAAAAACAAAACAAAACAATGAAACTTAGAGAACAGTCGAGAAAACGTAAAATTAAATGTTGTCCTCGTTCTGGAATGTAAAGCTCTCTATTGTCATTATAAAAAGGGGATATGTCACAGGGATATTGTTTTTGTAGGTCCATTCTGTGCTTAAGTCATTACTTGCTACCTTTACCCGAACACAAAATCTTCCTGTTGCTTCTGTGAAAGTACAGCCCCTTTTGCAGGTCTGTAATTGATCATAGGACTGTTTGAGGTTCGTATTGGCCACCTTTGGCATAATCTTTAGGAAACGTTTCTTGAGAACTTCCTACCGGGATCTTAGGATTTGGTCGGATCGTGTTCGGAAATCCAAGGCATTTTACTCAGAAGTAGTTGGCAGGTTTTGGAGTTAAAAATTTTACTCTTCAAATTCTTGTATACATATTTTCATTTGGAATACTCTTCACACTTTTCTAAGATGCTAGCTTTTTGTTTGATAGAAGCCTTACTTACTGTTAGCCTTAGAAAGCAGCCGACCTTTCGCGACCTCAACACTGGTTTCCTCGCGAATTGATGAAACCAATGGTGAAGTTGCGAAATTATTCTTTGTATTTCATCTTAGATGCTCCATTAATTTTATGACCTTATCTTACTTGATCTTAAGTCATAGCGTGCCTTCGGCAACAAATGCGGTGAATTTTACCTAACACAAGCTTAATCTTAGATGCTTTCCATTTGTCAGAACTGGCCTTCCAGTCCATTCCCTTCGTAATGAGAATTTCACTTTTACTAAAACTATCGAGCCAGATCAGTCAAATCCTAAATTATAATATGCATGGGATTGATGGGTTTTAAAGCGCAGACTCTTAAAAGGCCTATTTCATTTTCAAAATGATCCGGCCGGCCAGTTCTGACTTTTGGAGCGCCCTTAACTTCATTTTGGTAAAAATGCAGGTTTTACCCAGAACAGAAAAGAACAAACCTCAAGACAAAAAAATCAGAATTATTGTTACACAGTAAGCATAGTTACAGGAAAGTACTGCTTGGTAGCTTTCATTTGATAGATCACATCCTACTGGAATTCATCCACAGACTCAAAAGTTTGAACCACCTGGTACAGCATAATAAACAGTACCACAGGAAAGAACTACTCAGTAGCTTTCATTTGAATGGTCACACTTTAGGATTTCATTCGCAGACTCAAAAGTTAGAACCACCTTGCACAGCATAATAAACAGTACCAAAGGAAAGTCCTGCTCTGTAGCTTTCATTTGAATGGTCACACTTTAGGATTTCATTCACAGACTCAAAAGTTAGAACCACCTTGCACAGCATAATAAACAGTACCAAAGGAAAGTCCTGCTCTGTAGCTTTCATTTGAATGGTCACACTTTAGGATTTCATTCACAGACTCAAAAGTTAGAACCACCTTGCACAGCATAATAAACAGTACCACAGGAAAGAACTACTCAGTAGCTTTCATTTGAATGGCCACACTTTAGGATTTCATTCACAGACTCAAAAGTTAGAACCACCTTGCACAGCATAATAAACAGTACCAAAGGAAAGTCCTGCTCTGTAGCTTTCATTTGAATGGTCACACTTCAGGATTTCATTCACAGACTCAAAAGTTAGAACCACCTTGCACAGCATAATAAACAGTACCAAAGGAAAGCACTGCTCAGTAGCTTTCATTTGAATGGTCACACTTTAGGATTTCATTCACAGACTCAAAAGTTAGAACCACCTTGCACAGCATAATAAACAGTACCAAAGGAAAGTCCTGCTCTGTAGCTTTCATTTGAATGGTCACACTTTAGGATTTCATCCACTGACTCAAAAGAACGGCTTAGTAACTGTCACCTGAATAATCTTGATACTACCACTTCATTTTTATTTTTCAAAGATTGAATCATTTCATATCGACTTGAGGTTTGTCTCTTGGGGTATATTTGTTGGACTTTTTTTTCGTTGTTGGTTACATAATAATTTTTCTCTTGAGATTGTTCTTAAAGTTACACAGTTATCTTGAATCTTTTCTTGGTGTTTAAGACCGATATCTTAAACGTTCTAATTTTTACACTATGAGCTCTTTCCTCTTCCATTTCTTGTTACTTTATTAAATTTTGAATTCTACGACGTTCCTGTTATTGTAATGTTTGAATTTACATGTACTATAGTGAAGATCGTGCGGCATACCAAGGCTTCGTTCATCTGAAGAAAAGTTTTCCCGGGAAAGAAGGTCACCCTCCCAGCCGAATCAAATTAAACGAGCGTTTCAATGAGGAAAACGTTGATCCCTTTGCGAGATTTAGAGCAGACAACAATTTTCCTCTCCCTTTTATGGAACTTTTCAAGGAAATTGAAACAAATAATTCAATCCCAGCTAGTACTAATGAGGCAAACCAGTTGCCTATTTTACAAGTGTGGCCGAGGATTTGAACTCGGGACTACCGAGAACAAATAAGGCGGAACTTGGGGCATCCGGATTACAAGTCCAGTGCTCTATAACCACCCGGCCACGCTGCGCCCATTGACGGTGGCGTGATAATCACTGTAATAAGGCGGCCAAAGGTCATTGATTTCGAGTATAGTAGGGACCGATTAGGCCTTTTTTGCGCCGTATTAAACTCATTAAATCGCCTTCAACCTCGTTCCCATGGTTCTCTCTCCCAGGAAACGAGGTTGAAGATCACTAACGTTGATGACGTCATAGCCTCTTGTTGGAATCATGGATAGACTATGAGTAGTCCCCTATTTGTCCTCAGGGATAGTAGAGCGAGCGAAACGCGAGCGCGCGTGAAAATCACCCGACGCGAGAAAGGCGAGACGCGGTGGGGAGAGAAAAATTTTCCTCTCTAAATCATGGATAAAATGCGGGAGAATTAAATTAACTTGTACATGAATATATTGTTAACGCCGATGATATCATAGCCCTTTGTTTAGTTTCATGAAATAAAAATGGGGGAATTTAAGAGCCATTATCTGAGAAAATCGAGAATCGCACGACACTCGTCAAAAAATCGAATTTTTTTTTATTTTGCCAAAACATCCCTTTTAGTGACCTTATTTAAGGAAAAATAGTTTTGGGTTCAAACGATTCATTTTAAAGGAGAAATTAGGAAAAGTTTGAAAAATCGATTTTATGCTCTTTTTTCGCACAAAACACGGCAGGATGCAATGGCAACTTCGAGAGAAGGGTGAACGCGTAAGAAACATTCCCTGACATTGAAACTTCACCGAATTATTATTTTGTTCTTACTCTTGAAAACCTTAAAAGAAAATTTGATAAACAATGCTTTACATTTTTATAATCGACAAGTGTAAAGAGGTCATATTTGTGACGTTGGACGTGCTAGAAAATGAAGGCCAACTTTGACTATTAAAAAAGGCCTCTGGTATATGCCGCTTGATCATAAAATCAATATAAAATGGAACCTTGGCTTTTGTACTAAGTTACTGGAAAGTTTTAGCTTTGGAAATCAAATATCATCCTGACACCAAAGCAAGCGGTGAGAGCAATTGAATTGGGAAATTTATGCAAATTAGACGGCTTGCGGACGGTTGTCAAACTAAAAAGAAAGGTTTTACATGAAAGGATTACTCACCATTGCTTTTAACACGTTTTTACGGCAAGGAAAGTTGTTTCCAACTTCTTTTGCGTCGTTTTGAGTCACAAAATAAATAATTTTTAGCCAAAAGACAAACGTACGTTTGCTCAGCAACTGCGTCCGAATCCGGCCGTGAATCGAAAGTCCCAACACGTCGAAGCAAGAGTTACAAGAGTTTTTACTTCAGTCAGGAGGCAAAAGGAATAA